TATATATATTCACATAATAAAGGGAAACCGGACTTATATTTTTACCAGTTCCTTCGTAACTTTGTGTTGTAACGGTCGCGGGGAGGAGGGAGGGGGTGGTTGTTTGATTGTTGGTGCGGTTTGCAGTTTGTTCATTTATATTCCTAATGAAAAGGGAGAGAGGGGCGTGGAAAAAGGGGAGTGTCTGGGACTGTGTGGACTGAAGATAAGGAGTGCACACATCGGAAGTTTTTTGTTTGTTGTTGGGGTTTTTTTTCATTCTAAGATTGTGGGAGTTGGGTGTCCTTCGTTTTGTTTTCTTTGAGTTTTGGGGGGGTTTGGGGGGGGGTAGCTCTATATAAAAACCTTCTTGCTCTGGTGACCACTATGGGCGCACAAATGAAGGGCAACACACCAATAGTCCAGTGCGGGCGCAACCTTTCCCTCCTTGTCCCTCATTTCGGTTCCAAGTAGAGTCAAATGGTGTGCTCCACAATGAATCGGAATGACGTCAGATATTTTAGCACAAGTCTATGAAGGCTACACGCTGTCGTTTTAACTTGTCAATTTAATGTGTAGGTAACACATATTAGCCCAAAGCACAACACACACCTGATGAGTTGCTGCTTATCGCGTTTAACGAGCACACGGCATCATGCTGTTGGTCCTTTCACGTGTCGTGCTGACCATGGTGCTGAAACTGTCAAAAGTCAAATGCTCCACACCAGTATCGATTCGGCAATATCTTTAGGCAAATTATATAGCTACTCCGTGATTTACTTTGGTAGCGAAGACTACTCCATGGTGTTTCGCTCTTTGATCTCACATCAAGAGACGGATTGTCAGTAGCCCCTCCGTGATGCAGCCAGCCATGTCTGACAGCATTAATAATTCGAACATGGGGCAGTATGTCTAAAACTAAAACCAAACATCACAGGCAACGACTACCATGGGTTTCTTTTTTAAGAGTTCTGAACCTTGACCTTTAGAGACGCCGGAGATGAAGGAGTGTTTCTAGGTCAAAGAACCTCCTCTCCGTCTCGGGAGTTGTGTGATGCAACCTTGATTCCTCTGCTGTTTTAGATTGTCAGGAAAATCCCCACACGGTCGCACCACATCACGATCAGCTTTCATATTGTCTCCACTGGGAATTAATTTGTTTATGAAAGAGTGATATCTCGGTACCATTCCAAAAGTGCCTGACAAGTCTCAATGCGTTGCACCATGTGATCTTCTATCAATTAATGTTTTGCCACCCAGCGAGCCGAAACTACGTTACGGTATCCTCCAAGCTCTTCATACACACACTTTTCTACCAACAACAATCTGCAGGATGTCACGATCGCCAGACACAGCAGGAATTTCCAGCAGCCTGCCCTCACGAAGCAAAAGCATCAGCACTCTGTCTTGCAATGTTCCTTATCTGTTACAGAAGACACGGAGCGCCCACGACCTGGGTCATAAACAAGATTTGAACGCCCTGTCTTGGAAATGCTGCGTCTTTGATCGACCTGGGGGGGGGGGGGGTTCTT